TCCGGTCCTGACTCGGGAGCCCCTCGGGCTCTCTGTCCAGGTGGCCGGGCCAACCTCGTGTCCGCACCCAATGTGCCACCCCAGCCCTGCCCGGCCACACTTCCTGGGGATCAAAGTTGCACCCCGCAGCTCGGGACCCCCAGTCCGGCCTCATCTTTAGGAGCAGGACCTGCGGCTTCCTAGCGGGGTGTCTCCCTGTTCTCGGCTGAGTGCGATGGTGGATCTCGGATCCGTACAGATTTGAAGTCCTTCTCGCACCGTAGACTCACTCCACCCCACCCCACCCCCACCCCCGCACTTGGCACTACGGTGGGCAAGGCCTTGAGGGCCCGTCCTTCAAACCTGCATGACAGCGGACACAGGGGCAGCTGTCCCCCAACTCCAGAGACAGGGAAACTGAGGCACGGCCAGGCCCAGGCCAGGGTCATCCAGCTGCGAGCCACGCAGGCAGGGTCGGTGCCCAGCTGTCGGTGGTCAGGTTCCAGCACCCTCCGCTGTGGCACTAAGACTGAAAAATGACCTGTGAAGCCCCCGGGGAGGAGGTGGCCACGATACCATGTTGCCTGGATGAATCCAAAACACAGGACTGGTGTTAGGGACCAGGCAGGGGAAATGCCTGGGCACCGCAGGGGCACCCTCCCAGGGTGTCTGAGAAGGACTCCGTTTGGGCCACCCCCTTCCAGGGCCCTTCCACCTTGTACCCGGGGCCCCCTTTATAAACCACCATGTGTTACGTGAGCTATTGGCTAAAGGAAGCGACTATTCAAGGTGCTTAAGGAGAAACAGGATTCTGTCCCAGCGGTGGAAACACTGTGGAGACGTTGAGAATTACTTTGTGTGTGAGCGAGGCCTGAGCTAGCAGCTCCCACGCAATAACTTATCGCTGTTATAAATAAATATGTTACCAAGTTCCCGTATTTTAAAGGAGCGTTTCCTGCTCTTCCCAGCAGCCCCAGCGCACAGGATGCCCCACAAGATCGGATTTGTCGTCGTCAGCTCATCTGGGCACGAGGACGGCTTCAGCGCCCGGGAGCTAATGATCCACGCTCCGACCGTCCGCGGGTGGAGGTCGCCAAGGTGGGCCGGGCGAGGGGCCTCGGGTGGGGGCGGTGGGGGCTGTCAGGTGGCCGGGCTCCTTTCCTTCTCACGTGTCAGCTGCTGCTGCGCCCCCACCTGCCTGGTGTGGTGGTGCGTCTTCTTCCTGCGGCTTAGGTTTTTAAAGGGAACTTGTTGGGCCTTTTGCCTCGTAACATTACTCACGTCCACTTAAGAAATGTGCAAATACGAGAGAGGAGGAGGAAGACAGAGACCCCCGCCGGCCGCCCCGGCTCACGCCGGCGTCTGTTCTGAGCTGCGGTTGGGTTTGCAGGGCTCCTGGTTTCGCATCTGACCGCTCGGAGATCACGCCAGCTTTAGCCAGGAAGGCTCGGGGGTGTGTCCTGACGTCTGTGCGCCTTTACGCACGTGTTCGCTGCTGGGGGGATGATACTGGGTGCTCTGTTTCTGACACGGGGGCGGGGGGTACTTGTTGAGACCTGGTCAGGCTGTCAACATCGTCAGTGCCCTGGGGTGGCCCTCCCCCCAGCCCCGTCTCCTCCTCAGTGGCTCCTTGTCCCCGTCTGAGCAGAAGGTGCTGTTTGCTCCTAACTCACACACATGTAACACGTATCACAGTGCAAATCCCGTCACATGCCTGCGACTCACTTGTGCTGCTGACAAGGTGAATATAGGTCCCACTTTAAATGAAAACATTTTTCCTCTTGGCGTTTTTTTGAGGGGACCCAATAGGACAGTCTCCTGTCCCCGCCTGAGCTCTGGAGGAGCTGAGAAATGACCCCGTCGTGCAGGGGGGACGAAATGGCTCCTTTATTGTGGGTGAGGCTGATACTGGGGAGCAGGGCTGTGTCTGCAGGCAAGTCAGCGGCGCAGGACTCAGCCGCCCACGGCCAGGCCAGCCTTCCCGGTCAGCCGCCCACGGCCAGGCC